TATCCACATTCGCATCAGCAATGGTGGATTATTACATATGGGAATTTTCCCTGTAGGTAATAAAGTTAATCCGTCTTTCGTAAGTGGGTTATCTCATACTTTCTGACGAATTAGTGAACTATGCATAGGTACATACACTTTTCATTACTTTATAAGTATCACATGATAAACTTGATGACTATGCTTATGTGCTCTCCTTGTTTCTCCCCCATTTCATATCTCTCTTATAACTCCAGTGAAGTTCTTCAAGTCCATTTGTCATTAAAAAATGGCTCTTTGGTTATCTGACTCTCATGTAGGCCTCTAAATGGTATTAATAAAACTTGAGAATTAACGAGTTTTAAGCACGATAGTTAACACGGTCTGAATGAGGAAAGTTTCGTTCATTATTGACTGTTTTTTGTTTAACATCTTTAATGTTATTATAATTGTGCCACTTGCCGCGTTTATTGATCAAATTAATTTTTGTATTGGACAGAAGGAACGTTTCCTTCATATGGTATACGACCTCCTGTTGCTGTTTATTGTCTCGAAAATAAAGCCAGATTCATTTTACTGAAACCTCATATGTTGGCTCCTTTGGTACACCTTTTTATTTTTTGATAACGTTTTATTTATCGCATAAACGTTTTTTTGTTCTTTCAAGACGATGTATACTTATCTGTGTTTTTTCATGACTGATAAAAGCAAATCCTGATTATCAAAACGGCTTGCTTCGCCAAAGAATGAAAGGATGAAAAATGAAAGAATGAGATAGATATAACGAGAGTGAGAAAGAGACGGAAATTGAAATATTTCCTGTAAAAGAAAAATACTTCAGTGCCCAGATCCGATCTAACACGAACAATAGAAATGAATATTACGATTTACAATTATTATTAATTCGGCGCCATGTTAATGGATNTCTACACTAAATGACCGAATTGGCCGAAAGCAATATCTTGAGTTTTCTAATAAATTTCTTTTTTTATTAATTAACAGCTAAAAATAGTCAATAACTAAAATGCGACATTAATGTTTTGTTTCATTTAGCATTAAACAATGAATTCCACTCTGAAAATGATTATTATTTTTTATCTGATCTTATAGTTTTTCTTTTATCAGGGACAAGCGCGATCGATTGTTGTTATTCTCTTCATTGTATTGGATATCTCAAGTTGCCGTAACATTTGCTAGTATTATATATGGCTTTGTAAAATTGGTCTATCCGAAGTTTGACACTCCTCAAGCCTTTTGTGATATCGTCCGAAATTATAGAGTAAGTTACTCAAAACAAATTTTGATTTTTCAATAAATAACGTCAATAGCTTCCTCTGTCAGAAAATGTGATATATAGCCTTACATTGAAAGAAAATCAACTGACATTGTATTGACATTATTTACATCGATAACTAGAAAACCTAACGTATTTAAAACGTTATCTTTGAGTTAAGTTAGAATTCGAAGAGCAAAATTTAGTTTTCTTTAAGAAAAATAAAATAATCACCTCTATCATTTTAAAATGGAAAATGGATCGTCATACTTGCAATTGACCTGTCTATGCCAGAAGGTCACGAGTAGGTATGAGTGTTTTTCCACTTAACGCTTGCTTGACAAAGCGACTGCTAAACTGGCAACTGTTTCCAATCATTGATAACTCGTTAATAACAAGGGTAATTTTTGTGCATACCTTTTACATCCCTTAAGTTGTGGAATTATCCCTAGGTGCACTCTACACTACCTACAGATATTGCCTTTCAAATATTCCGGAATAGTGATGATGCATAGTGTATACCACAGTCGGCCAAATTTCACTCCTACCATTCCTAGGTGCTCCTACAAGAGAGAATGTGAGAAGTAACACAAAAGAGACAGGTATAGTGTCTGTATCCCTTTCTTCATAATCATAACCATGGCGGAGGGGGCTTGGCTACGGAGGAAGAGATACAGATATCACTCGTTGCTATATCTGTCTCTGTTGCATATAATGTACCAATGTACCAGAAAATTCTCAGGTAGTCGCTCCTAAGTGTTTAAAGTTTGGCCAACTTTTTTGTTATGTTTTCGTGGAAGAGGGGAAATCTTCAAAAGACACCCAGCCGTCCGTACGACTGGGTGGTGTCGGATCCCCGAGGAATAAGTCCTCGGGCCTACCGACTAACCTCAGGCCGTTCTAAGACCAAATAAGGTCCTCTTCAGCCGTGTGTTTGTGTATTATGTGAATGTTTTGTGTATGTATGTATGTATGTATGTATGTATGTATGTATGTATGTATGTAGGTATGTATGTAAGTATGTATGTATGTATGTGTGTGTGTGTGTGTGTGTGTGTGTGTGCGCGCGCGCGCGTGTGTGTGTGTGTGTGTGTGTGTGCGCGCGCGTGTGTGTGTGTGTGTGTAGGTGTAGGTGTGTGTGTGTGTAGGTGTGCGCGTGTGTGTGTGTGTGTGTGTGTTTGTTTGTGTAGGTGTGTGTGTGTATGTGTGTGTGTGTGTCTGTGTGTGTGTGTATGTGTGTGTGTTTGTGCATTTGTGAATTTGCGTGAGTGTGAGTGGATGTTTTTATTTTAGGGTGTTGGGGAGTGTTTCGTAGTAGTCTACGTATTCTTCGGGTAGGTCAGGAGTGATCGCCAGAAGTTTGGCAGGAGGAAAGGGGAGCTTGTTCTTTGGTTTTTGTGTTATTCGTTGGGGAGTGTGGGTTAGGGTTCTTGTTGATGTAGGGTTGTTATCGATAGCTCTTTTAATGAATTTGGATTGTATGTTATTGATTCGTGTAGGGATACCTATTATATACTATTTACATTTGTAACCGGCCCCCCACCCCTTCCAATGTGTTTATGATTCATTGTCATTTGTAGCCGCTAACAACCTATCTGCCTCCCTCTCATTTAGTAGAGATTTCGAATTACTGCATACAAAATGGTATCACTCTTCCTATGGATTACATGCTTGTCGGTGGAGCCCCTGTGGCTAAAGAACATCTAAAATTGGCAAAAACGGTTTTCCCAAGCGCAAAGTTCATGAATTGCTATGGACAAACTGAGGTCGGATCCATTTCACTGGTTCCCAGAAACGAGAACTTCACCGAAAAACATGAGCAAAAGGTTTTCGATGGATCATCCGGAAAAATTCGAACAGGAATAACATTACGGGTGAGACAATCAATTTACTAAGTATATTTATCCAGAACAAATTATAAAATATTTCAAATGGAGCTGCTAAGAAGCTCTCATTTTAACTATCCATCTAGTGTTCCTTAGGAATCGCCTTAGCATTAGCAAAGTTATAGATTTCCTGATTGAGAGATTCCGTCCCATTATATATATAATGGGACGGAATCTCTCAATCAGGAAATCTATAACTTTGCTAATGCTAAGGCGATTCCTAAGGAACACTAGATGGATAGTTAAAATGAGAGCTTCTTAGCAGCTCNATATATGCACGATTTGTATTTATTTTTTTATATTGGATATTGTTAAAAGTGTATGTTTGGAACGCGACGCTGTACGGGTACGAAACATGGACGGTGGGCGTGGCAGAAATGAAAAGGTTAGAAGCATTCGAAACGGGGTAAACCTGCGAATGCTGAGGATACCGTGGATAGAGAAGGTTAGAAATGAAGAGCTATTAGAAATAATAGGAGAACAGAGGAGTCTATGGAAGTCAATAAAAAATAGGCAAGATAGGTTGGTAGTACACCATCTCAGTTAATCAGAGACATATTAGGGTCAGGAACAGGAATTAAGAGAAGTAGAGGTAGACCCGGATTAGATTAGGATAGAGAAGAGTGGAGGCGCGTATCCAAACCACTTACGATTGACGACCTTATGGTGATGATGATATTGAATATTAAATCTTTCTAGAGGAAGTTAGACATGAGGAGGTATTAGAAATAATAGAAGAACAGGAAGCGCTATAGAACTCAATAAGAAATAGGCGGAATAGATTGGTAGGGCACCTTCTCAGTCATGAAGGACTAGTTAGAGACGTATTTGAAGCAGAAACAGAAGTTAAGAGGAGTAGAGGTAGACCTAGATTAGATTACTGTTCAAAAATAGCTAAGTATGTAGGATGTTCTAGTCTTAGGAAAATGCGATGATTAATTAGCTGAGGATAGGAAAAAGTGGAGATGCATGTCCAACTAGTCTTAGGACCGGCGACATTATGATGATGATGACGATGATGATTAAATCTGTCATAGTGGAAGGCTGCACTATGTATGCATATTAGTACAAAACTGAATGCTTCGAACATTTGCTCATCACTATTCGTATAATACTGATACAAGTACTCAGTAACGAAGACATGTGTACGGTTGATATTTCTATCCAATATAGTATGTATGGTAAATAGTAGATAGAGTTAATTAATTGTTATACTGAACTACAACTCCGTAAGTTATGCTTACTAATTCCTACGAATTTTTGGGTGCTACAAAATGAGTATCATTCCATCACCACCCTTTGTTATTAATTATGCATTGTACCACTTACTATTGACAGAAAGAATGTTATTTACGAAAAACCGAAAATGTAAATTTTGAAATGTGATTTTCGAGGCTTACTCCCTCGTAGATCACCATTAAAATCATGAGCATACCTTGAATTTTCCAGATTGCAATGTTTAGGATTTACATTAGTACCATTTTTTTTCTAAGATTGTAAACCTGGATACTGAAGAAACCGTAGGCCCTATGGAACATGGTGAAATCCGCCTCCGATCCCATACATTAATGAACGGTTACTATGGAGTGGACTCGTCAGATGCATTCGATTCTCAAGGTTGGTTCAAAACAGGAGATATTGGATATTATGACGACGAAGATTTTATTTACATTATTGGTAGATGTAAAGACATGCTGAAGTACAAATCATTTCCAGTAAGTCCTGCGATTTTGGAAGACGTACTATTACAACATCCAGCGATTAAAGAATGTGTTGTAACAGGAATACCCCACGACATAGATGGTGACCACCCTGTAGCGTTCGTTACCCTTAAACAAGGTTACGATATTAACCCTGATGAAATAAAGGAGTTTGTTGACGATCGTGTCGATGATCGCAAAAAGCTAAGAGGAGGCGTTATATTAATTGACAATATACCTTTAACGGCAACGGGAAAACCCCAACGTCGTATGTTAAAAGAAATGCTACAAAGTATTAATTGCCAATGAAAAAATTATTTAGTAACGCTATTTAAAGTTTTTATACAATTTACTATTTAAAAACAATAATAGTTAATACTAGTGGTTGTTTACCTTTCCAATTGTTATGTCTTTAATAAATTGTGCCATCAGAAAATGTATTGGTTTTCAATTATTATGAAATAAATGTTAAGTAGAGTGTACATTGTACATAGGTGTGTAACATATAAATAAGTTAATAAAAATCGACAGATCGTTCACGTTGTGGGTCGGTTGGTCGTGGTTGCTGTTGTCACCTCTCGTAGTTTAGTGGTCAGAACATTGGTGCGTAAAGCCAAAGGTCCCGAGTTCGATTCCCGGCGGGGGTGTGACAACAGCAACAATTTTTCCCTCATTAATTTGAGGTAGCGTGTAGTGGGTAAAAAATTCAGAAATGAATTTTCAGAATAATATTTCATATTAAACTAACTCACTTCTAAAAGATATCTAAATTATATGTATGTTTAATCATAGTATATTCAGTATATAGTTACATTAGTTCGACGGATCGTTAACCTTGTAGGTCGGTTGGTCGTGGTTGTTGTTGTCACCTCTCGTAGTTTAGTGGTCAGAACATTGGTGCGTAAAGCCAAAGGTCCCGGGTTCGATTCCCGGCGGGGGTGTGACAACAGCAACAATTTTTCCCTCAT